ATCGAAGCGTTGTTGACACCAAAGGAATAAAAAACAAACGTGCTAGAAAGCGTAATGAGCAGCGTTGGTTTCTTTTGACCATAAACATATACATCTGCACATTCAAGCATGAAACCCTACAAAAAAGCGATTTCACACATTGTCATGAGCTTTTTCATCATGCCATCATCATCAACCAAGCTTCTATCATGCCACCGGCACCCACCTTGCTCACCAAGCCTTTCACCAAACACGCTTTGCCTCGCCACCATCAGCTGGAGTTTTCTACCGTCACCAACATTGCCTCGCCACCACCACCACTATCTGCCAACATTTGTTACACTCTAGCCGTCGTCAGCCGGCATTTTTCACCGTCACCACCATTGGCTCGCCTCCACCACCCCCATCTACCATCATTTTTTCCACTCTCGCCGTCATAGGCCATTATGCCCACTACAGTTTCCATCATATCCACTAATATTTCCACCATAATCACTATTTTTTCCGCCATATCCCCCAATGGTTCAAGCACCCACTAACCCAGGATTTAACAATAGGATGGTGAAGTGCGACTGTTGGCCTGAATAGTTTAGAGCCAGTTGTTCATCGCCGCTGTGACTCTTGGTGCATTCCCAGCCTTCTTTGTACAGTGAAAAATTGTTCATAGAACACTTTCTCCCGCTGAAAGACTTTGACCTGTCCTCGGCACCGTGTTTGCAACTACAGAAACTTCAGATCTTGGAAGACCTTTCGCCCTCAAAGCTTTCAACAAGAACATCGCTTGTGGTGTACTCCAACGTATCAATGACGTGGAAAAAGAAGCGGCGTGGAGCAGGGCGGGAGATGAAAGGTGAAAGAGCAGTCTGTAAGATGGCGTTGGAGCATTCGCTCTTGGCTAGTGGTGGAGCGTAGATGACCTATAATGACGAAAACGTCCCTCGCACGATTAACAAGGGCGATTTTTTGAGAAATGATAGCACCCCATGTTAATGTCTCGCCACACTGAGATTACATAGTTATAGAAGGCTACATCACGAGCTCGTGCATTTTCCCGCACTCAAAATTTGGAGATCCATGCGCTACAATATCACTGACGAATCCTACGTCACAACAGAAACTTCGCGATGTTTTTATGTGTATGTCGTGGCCCGTAATTAAAGTGCAACATGCCCTGTATTTTAGCGAAAGAATCGCGTCTCACAGAAGCGAGTACGATTCCTGGTGTCACGAAGGACGTGGTTTCATCAGTGATAAAAAAAAACTTGCTAAATCGCAGTGATCTTATCCTGCCAACGCGTTAACTATCGATCTAGCACAGACATTGAGAAGAGCTGGCAGAGCTGCCAGTTTTTTGTCTGGTGACCCTTATCGTGGGGGTTTCCCGATATCCTGTTGGTGGCATGACAGCCTAAGCGCATCACAAACATGGGTCGTGCTGCAGACGAAATACAATTGAAAGTGGTCACACGAAAGTGATCGCAACTGTCGACGAACCATCGTTAGTCCATTAGGAGTCAGCTGATCCTTGCAGAAGAATGCACTTCTGCGAATGCAGTTGTGATGCGCATTCGCATGATTTTCAAATGGGAAGCATTTCTTAGCAAACTTCGGCGATTTTGAGCGTATATATCTAATATCTATCTATCTAGTGGCCTACGAACTCAGGTCTCCTTGAAGTTTCGATAATGGCAATAGTAAAAAACTTCGAATGGCATAAAATGACGGCATGAGGAACATATTTGACTAGTCATAAGATCAAAAATCATGACATGTAAGTCATGAATGTCATAATTTACAATTCATGGTCCTGCAGCTCTTGCGGTGGTTTTGTTCACATGGCATGTTGCAAAACTGGTGTGACATGACATGACTGCAATGCGAACACAAGGAACAGTCGCTATCATGAAAATCATGGCATGCGTGTCTTGTAACAACATGACTACATGCCACGCTCATGATGCACTCACGGCCGTTTTGATAGCGTCACATATACCTAATTTGGTATCACAGTACGTGAATGAATGACGAAGGTATGTGACTGGTGCAAACATGATAATCCTGAGATGCCTGTCATGTAACAACATGACTACATGCCGCGCTCATGATGCGCTGGTGGCCAATGCGGTAATACCATTTGTACCAAATTTGGTATTACGGTTTGTAAATGGATGACAAAGGTATGCGACTGGTGCAAACATGATAATCACGAGATGCGTGTCTTGTAACAACATGACTACATGCAACACTCAAGACACCAAAACACATAGACGTGTCCAGGCGCGAGTGCGCACCGGCGTTCGTTTCGTGGCGTCACGCCGGTGGTGCCACTCCGGGCGCTGATCTGCCTGCCATATACCAGGAGGCGCACGCCGCGCTGCGTTGCTTTGACGCATGCGTGTTTAAGCGCGCCCGGCGTCCCTCCGTCACGAAGAGAGGCATGCAGACGCTGTGCAGTCTGGGTAACGTCATCGGCGCGAATATCAGCATGTCGCATTTCGTACATGTTGGCGCCAGGCCGCACCCACGAACGCTGGTTGTGCTGGTCGTGCCTCTCGTCAACTTTTATATAGAGTGCTCGCGTTTTGCTAGAGTCGCGTCGCTGCGCCCAGCGTGCGCGCGCGTCAATATTACGTCGGAGTATAGGGCAATTCATGATGCGCTTGAGGCCGTTTCGTTAGCTCTATATATAACAAATTTGGTGTTACGTGACGACAATGCATGACGAAAATGTATGACTGGTGCAAACATGATAATCATGACACGCATTTCATGTAAGAACATCACAACATACCACGCTCATGATGCGCTTGCGACCGTATCGGTAGCTTCACATGTACCATATTTGGTATCACATGGCGTGAATAGACGGCGAAGGTGAAAGACACCTCCAAACATGATAATCATGGTATGCGTGTTATGTAAAGCATGACTACAAGCTACGCTCATAACGTGCTCGCGGCCGCTTCACTAGTTCTACATATACCAAATTCGGTAGTACGTGACGTGAATAGATGACGAACGTAAATGACACGTCCAAACATGATAATCATTGCATTGAATTCATGTACGACAGAATTTACTTCTGCCTCATAAGGTTGTGCCGAGTTTAAAGTGACATATTAACCTTCTTTATTCGTGCTTTGCATATCATTGATTCTCACGGTACGTGAGATCTGCGATTTTTTATTTGTTTGTATAATTTTACACTAATTTATCGCAGATGCAGAAACTGTGTCAAATAGTATTACGTGTCCTTTTTGTCATCTTGAAGTGTAGAGTTTTGTTGTCGATCTGATAGCCTATTTGGTCAATACTTATATTTGCCTGGTCATTTTTATTTTAATTGTAAACTCATTGTTGTTTTCAATTGCGAATCTTTATTTAGCACTACCGCTGGCACGCCCTGCTTGGGATGGACCATGTCGGGAAGCAAACCACCTCCGTTTGTCCTCACCGCGGGATATGTACTTGTATTGACCAAAAAAAGAAAAGAAAAAGAGTCAAGAGAACAGCCAAAAAGAGCAATTGTGCTGTGACTATTTTTAATTCTCTGGTGCCTGCTTTGCCACGGGTCTCTCGTACCAGTTTTGCAAGGTACCTCGCTCACATAGTAATGATGTGCACTGCATACCAGCTTGTGTTCCTGTTTATCTGATCCTGTGTACCATGTCACGTGCTACGTCACGACTTATTTTAACACCACCTGCATTGACCGGGAACACTCAAGAGCACGTCACGTGAAGAACATTATATAAGTAGCCCTATTACGCACTTGGAAGCAGTATTTACGGGTCTGAGTTAAATGACAATTTATACTTTCAGCCGGCTCGCAGTGATTGCGTGCTTGACGCATGAGCTCAAGCACCGATTCTTCGGGAACCACGCTTGAACTGAGCGCGCGTGTGGAATCATGAGTGGAGTTGTGGTTTACGAGCTGCCCTCTGAGATGAGTACTTACCAGAGGGGACTGCTGTAGTTGAGGTAGTTGCGGTAGTTGCAGTAGTTGCGGTAGTTGCGGTTGTTGCAGTAGTTGCGGTAGTTTCGGTAGTCGTGCTTCGCGTTGCTGTAGTTGCCCTAGTTGGGGGGCTTCTCGTCAGAAACGTATGGTCTGCCAAAATGTTAAGAGACAAGCAACGTGATTTGTTTTTAAGGCTAACCTCGCTTTTACTTGAAATGAATAAGAAATGCGCACTTGAAAGAGGCTGCGCTACACGTCCCCAACCATCCATAACTTTGAAGCAATTTCAATAAAAGAGCTTGCGTTTTAGACAGTCGGCAACCTTGATGGTTTGGGTGGTTACAGCAAATGTTAGACACGTAACCGAAGAAAAAACAAGCAGCGCGATACCGCTAATAACAAGCGCTCATTGAGACTAAATGAACCCTATGTACAGCATTTGGCTTTTAGTGGGACGGCTCAGTGATCTCCCATTGTTGAGTACTAAGTACTCGAAATCGTTTAACATTTTTTCTGAACACAGCTATACATGTAGATTTGGTTATTTAGGTTAAACAAATGGTCATAGATTAAAAGGGTAGAAATATACTAAAGCGAGGTAGACACTGGTCATTACTGCACTATAATTATCTCCGCGACAGCACAACTGATAGAGCGCAAATAGGAGGCCCACATTTAATTTTTATGGCGGTAGTCTTCATTATTGCACAAAACAAACGTTGGTATTCTTCCTAATGGCTTGTTCTTCTTCGTTGCTCGCCACGCAGATGTTCAAGAATGGCGTGAAAAGTGCCCTATAGTGCTCATGACTGAACATTGTTTATGTGCTCTCTGGTCAAGTCGTTTCCGCAGCATTCCATCCGCCATATGTACTGTGAAACTACTAGAGTATCTGTAGCGCAATTGACGAAACCTACGCGTCTGCATGAAGTGATATTATCGGGGGTTTAATGTCTGGACACCACGACATAATTAGGAAAGACGCTGTAGTGTAGAACTTCAGAAATTTAGGCCACCTAAGGGTTCATCAACGTTCATGTGTATCTAAATACACGGGCCTCGAACATCCTAGCCTCATCGGGAATGCAGCCGTCGCGGCAGGGATTCAACGCCAGGACCTTTGGATCTGCCTGGAGTGAATCAGGAGGAATGGGCAATTCGCTGCGGGTTGTTCTTACCGCAAATTTAAATGAGTTACAATGTGTGTTTATGGTGCAAGCATTGTCTTTTTGCCGTTGAGCCTCCACTTCCCGTGCCCTCAACTTTGGAATCGCAGGATGTTGTCGGCGTTGTGCTTTTCCGCAATTTCCTTAGCTTTCGCCTCTGGGGCGGCTTGCTGTCTGTGTCGGTGTTGCCTTTCGTGAGCGAGAGCACACTGACGCTCGTTTTCATCAGCGGCAGAAAGACAATGTATGGTCTAGAACAATCTCATTCTTCATTTTCGTATCATATAGTGGGTACGTTGTAAAGTGGTCCTCGTCATTGCCATCGTCACCATGAGTAAGGAACATGCAACCTAAGCATAAAAAAATCTGGACTTTAACGTGCTCCACCTCTACAAGAACACTTAACTATCGACGCAGTAGTAGGCACCGAATGTGCCGTGACGTTTGGACTACCTTTTATTTCGCGCTTCGTTGGGACAGTACCTTCGGCTTCTTTGACCACAACAGGGGCTACTATCAGCTGAGCAAGGTCCTCCGTGTAGTCGACGTCCGAGTCAGCCCTCACTGCAGGACAAGAAGCAGGGATCAGTCACGTGTAATAATATTTTGTTTGAGCCATTTTTTCTTTTATCAGATCATTTGTAAACATTAACATCTTCACTGGCGGTTCGCAAGACAGAAATTTGAACAAAGCAGATAGTTTGATTAGATGTGTCAAGAACACATCTTAATCAAGGTAGGTGCACTTTTCTTACAATGGTTTTATAAGCATGACCCATACACTCGGTTTTCATTCCTTAAAACTATCAATTCCTTCTCTATAAATGTTCAAAAACAATATATATATATATATATATATATATATATATATATGTTGCCGCCGCCCGAAACAAAGAACGAAGACGATGTGCGCGCCAACTGCCTCGTGAAAAGGCGGACAGAAGAAGACAACGTGCTTTTAATTTGCCCGCCTACTCTTGGCTCCTGCATAAAAACACACGCCGTCGGTTCTCAGACTCAACGTCTAGGTGCACTGCTTACGTCCAACCGCGACACCGTGGCCGATTTTATAAGAGAAGACACTGCCATTGAGCGTGCTCTGCACCAAAGATCGAGGCAATATGATCACTTGTCTACTACCACCCCAATCAACGCCGCTTTATTGACTCTGGACAGTCAGGGCTCCCTACGTGACCCGATCAGAGATAATGTCCGAGAAGAAATTCAGAAGCTTTGGGCTCCTCCAGTGGATACACCAGTGACCACCGTTGCCGCAGTCGTTCGTGACGAACTTAGGCACGCTTTTTCAGCAGCTGATCTGGGTCGCGATCAGCGTCAACTGAGTTACACCGACGCTGTCCGCCGTCCACCACCCGTCCCGCCTATTACATCATACTACCAGCCACCTACAACCGCACCTTCGTCGCAACCAATTGCAGGAGGCTTTCAGACGTCAGCCCATGTCTCCGATGTCTCCATGCCACCAGCCACCCCTTGCCGCGCCTTACTCACCACCACGAGAGGACATATTACGCCCACAATTTCGCAGAACTGACGCTTGGCGCGCCGATCGACGGTGCGCCAAACGTCCGTTCGTTTGGACGTCACCAACAGTTGAACGAACTTGCTGTTGACCTATTTCACCTCCGAGTGACGGCACCTTCCAAAAGGCACAACGTTGGCACATTCCGACGAGATCGCAGATGTTTGTGACTGCTTTTCAGCACTCGAAGCAACACCTGCACAAGACCCACGTGACCTAGCACCTAACCTTGACCTCAGCCCTACATTTAACTCGGCAACAGCGGGAACACCTGCTTGTGCTGCTAGACGAGTTCCCCGACTGTTTTTCGTCGACCTCGAAAGTTGGCCGGACGTCCTTGACCAAGCACCGAATCATCACAGAGGACATGGCTAGACCAATCCATCAAAATCCTGTACCGTGTGGCTTCAAAAGAACGAGAAGCGATAGAACAGCAGGTAACAAAAATGCTTGAAGACGACGTCATTCAACCGTCGAAAAGCCCCTGGGCATCACGTGTTGTTCTAGTGAAAAAGAAGGACGGCAGCCTGCGTTTTTGTGTGGACTATCGAAAGCTAAATCAGGTTACAAAAAAGGACGTGTACCCGCTTTCCCGCATAGATGATTCGATTGACAGGCTTCGAAACGCACGTTACTTCTCTTCCACGGACTTAAAGAGCGGATATTGGCAAATTGAAGTAGACCCCAGGGATCGTGAAAAAACCGCTTTCGTGACGCCAGACGGACTGTACGAATTTAAGGTTTTGCCTTTTGGCATTTGGCTTGTGCTCCGCGCCTGCTACTTTCCAGCGTCTCATGGATACCGTTCTCTCTGGGCCTAAATGAAGAACCTGCCTAGTTATACATTGACGACGTCATTGTGTTTTCTACAACGTTTGACGAACACCTTGAACGATTGCAAATAGTCTTGCAGGCCATACAGGCCGCAGGCCTGACGCTCAAGCCGGAGAAATGTCACTTCTGCTTTGACGAACTGCAGTTTCTTGGCCACGTCGTCAGTTACGCAGCAGTTCGTCCAGACCCCAAAAAAGTTGCCGCCGTCGCACAGTTTCCAACACCATCAGATAAAAAGGCAGTGAGGCGTTTTCTGGGTCTCTGTGCATATTATCGGCGGTTTATTTCAGATTTTGCGCGCATTACCTCACCTTTAATTCGTCTCACAAGGGATGACGTTGCATTTGTTTGGGGCGACGAACAGGAAAATGCTTTCAATGACTTGCGGCAACGTGTACAGGCGACCCCCGTCCTTGCGCACTTTGATGACACAGCCCCTACAGTGCTCCATACTGACGCCAGCAATGTTGGCCTCGGAGCTGCGCCTGTGCAGCACCAGGACGACGAGGAAAGAGTGGTCGCTTACGCAAGCAGAACTCTGTCACGCACAGAAGCAAATTACTCGACCACTGAAAAGTAATTCCTCGCCGTGGTGTGGGCAGTTATGAAATTTCGCCCACACCTGTATGGCCTCCCATTCAAGGTTATCAGTGACCACCATTCGTTGTGTTGGTTAACAAGTCTGAAAGATCTTTCCGGGCCATTGGCACGCTGGAGCTTTAAACTACAGAAGTTTGATATAACGATGGTGTATAGGTCGGGAAAACGACACACGGACGCCGACTGCCTATCTCGATCACCAATAGAGACGGCTGCTGCTTTTAATGGAGAAACAGCGTCCTTCAGAAGCCTCGACACGTCAATTATCGCAGATCACCAGCATGACGATCCTGAGCTACTTGGCTTGATTAATTATTTAGAAGGACGAAGCCAGAATGCACCCAAAGCCTTTACAAGAGGACTATCGTCGTTTTGTCTGCGAAACAATGTGCTTTACAAAATGAACTTCTCGTCAGACGGGTCAACCTACCTGCTTGTCGTCCCTACCACTCTTAGTTCTGAGGTGTTGCAAGCGTGCCACAACGAGGTAACATCTGGACATTTAGGCTACACGCGCACACTGAGCAGAGTTCGAGAGAGATATTACTGGCCTAGACTCACCGCTGCCGTGAAGCATCATGTTCGCACCCGCCTCAATTGCCAGCGGCGCAAGTCACCTCCAACGAAACCAGCCGGTTTACTACACACTGTCCAGATCCCGACAACGCCGTTTGACCAGATCGGAATGGACCTTTTGGGCCCACTTCCCACCTCTAGTGTTGGTAACCGCTGGGTTATAGTGGCGACCGACTACCTTACTCGCTACGCCGAGACAAAAGCCATCCACAGAGGCAGAGCAGAGGAAGTAGCCCGGTTATTCAGAGAACATTGTGCTGAGACACGGTGCGCCATCGATCGTTATAACAGATCGCCGAACCGCATTCACAGCCGCGCTTTTAGATCATGTGTTGGTGCTCAGTGGTACTATTCATCGCAAGTCGACAGCTTACCATCCACAAACCAACGGGTTGACCGAGCGACTTAACAAAATTCTGGAAGACATGCTTTCCATGTATGTGGACATTGAACACAAAAACTGGGACGAGATTCTCCCTTACATAACGCTCGCATACAATACTGCGAAACAAGAAACCACTCGGATGACCCCATTCAGCCTTGTTCACGGACGAGAAGTAAGAACGATGTTAAACGCGATGCTGCCACACGAATGCGATGACAACGAAACGAGTGCTGACGTGTTTACTCAACGCGCAGAAGAAGCCAGGCAGCTCGCACGTCTGCGAATATACCAACAGCAAGAGTACGACGCAGGCCGCTATAACCAACGTCATACACCTGTAACGTACGAAACCGGAGACAGGGTATGGGTGTGGACGCCTGTACGAAGACGGGGACTATCCAAAAAGTTGCTCAGAGGGTACTTCAGACCTTATCGAGTGCTGCGACGACTAAGTGACGTTACCTGTGAAGTCGTCCCGGATAGCCCAAACTGTTCAAGGCATCGCCACCACCGACCTGAGCTTGTGCACGTAGTGCGCATTAAGCCATACGTAAGCGAGTGACTCTGCGAGGCACCGTCGCTTCTACAAAGTGACTTCCTGTGCGAATTACTGTCTCAGCTATAGCATTGGGGCGATGCTCTTTTAAGGGGAGGCAAATGCCGCCACTCGAAAAAAAGAACGAAGACAATGTGCGCGCCAACAGCCTCGTGAAAAGGGGCACTGAAGAAGACGACGTGCTTTCGTTTTGCTCGCCTGCTATTGGCTCCTGCATAAAAACACACGCCGTCGGTTCCCGGACTCATCGTCTCGGTGCACTGCATACGCTGAACCGCGACAATAAATAAATAAATAAATAAATATATATATATATATATATATATATATATATATATATATATATATATATATATATATATATATATATATACATACATATATACATATTAAGGAAAGAAGTGTATACCTTAGGGCTTGTTTTTCTGTGTTTCTACACAATATCTAGCAGAGAATAATGCCAAGGAAAGTATAGGGGAAGATATTAGACCGAATTGTAACGTAAATATGAAGAAAAGTGGGTGAAAAGATAACTTGCCGTGGGCAGGATATATATATATATATATATATATATATATATATATATATATATATATATATATATATATATATTCGTATAGGAAAGAAGACGCACATACGAAGTTATTTTATTGACGTTTCGGCCGTGGGTCCGGCCTTCATCAGAATACAGTTTATGGCACGAGTGCTGTTTATATAAATGTGCATATCAGTAAGATACAAATGTCAAAACCGACACGAAAGGCTATATATGGGCATATATATATATATATATATATATATATATATATATATATATATATATGCAAGTCACACAATATAAAGAGCACCTAATCTACGAGTAAAAAGATATTGCTTCCATGCGCGAGCACGTTGTTTACAAATAAAAGATGAAACGCATAAAAGATAAAGCACATAACATGAAGAGTAGTCCGACCGGTAAAAACAAGAGAAGAAAAAAACTACAAAATACTAATAAAAATGACAAAGACATTACAAAGCTTCTACGTAATCAACGGATACAGACAATGTAGTGCGACTTGCTGAGCGAG